TTTTACTTATTTGCATATGCTTCTTGCATAAGGGTAGCACTTGAATGGGCATTCACAGAAATTGGGGGAACTGTGTCAACCATATTTAAATAAATACATTAATGATAGATTCTTCATATTGCGAGGTACACCATCAGAAGCATGCTCATTGTAATCCAGACATGTGTGTTCGGCAATTTCACAAATTATTACATTTTTCCAATAGCAATTATTTATGTTTGCGTGTTTATGTTGACATGTAGCAATATATTTACGTGTGTATTCTTAATTAGGCATGCTGGGTGAGTACGTACAGGGGACTTGGTGTTTGTTTTTGTTCGCTTGGTTTGCCGTCAAAGGAGAAAATAAACTGAACGCTTTAATTGCATGCCGTTCGTAGTGTGAGAAGGATGCTCTGAGAAGGGGAATTGTGGCAGTGGTATTATTTAGTGGCGAGTCACATCCGCCATGTCACAATGTTGTTAAAACAAGATATGTTTCTTATGGGGAGAACGACTGCCGGGCAAAATCCCACCACATAAGGGAACAATGCTGTTGAAGCATTTGCTGGAACGAGATTAACCCGAACAATGCAGCTGGCAAAACGGGGAGGTCACATTTGAAATTATGCACCTTTTGTAGGAAAATTTGTTAAAATCAAACTTTTTAAAGAACCCTTTGCCAAGTACTCAGCAAACGGACAGCGGGAGTGTTTGAGTGCAAGTGGAAACTCGTTAATCATGATAGCAGCACTCCTATAGCTGGTGGAAGTGTGTAAATTGTTTACGCGGCCGTAAGCAATATGATTACAGATAAATGTTGAGAGCAATAATAATCCCTACTTACCTCTTATAAAATGCCGTCGCGATCGCCAGTTTAAGATTCTTTACGTCCTCTTCTATGTCCACGTATTTACTGGAAATTGAACGCACTAAAACTTTAATGTTGGTAAGTCCTCAGCATGCTACCTGCTATAACCTAGCGCCACAATGCATTACTACTCTTTGTTAATTAATTGAAAACAAGAGCAGTGAAGAATTATTACGCAAACGTATTAAATTATTTTCAAACTTCCTCATTCACTTAGCTCCATTTATATTAGGGTATCAAACAACCCCCACCAGATTAGGTTCTAAGTAGTTGCTAAGATCCCCTGTGTGATATTACATGAACTCATGTTATGATCAAACCGAAGGTGTACGGACGACAACGTCAAAATTGCAGGACAGTATGCTTTTCTTTTTTAAATATATAAACACATAAACTTTTATTCACGGCAATTCCAGGCACACGTTTACAGGCATTATAATGTTGAGCTAACATATTGTGACCAACAATATACAAAAGCTTTTTTGGCATGACCATGAATGTGTATATGGGTGTATGCAAGTATGTAATTGTTTACGAATGCCGATGTGCAGCTTGCAGTTGTGAATGTGCAGCAGCATTTTCGGTTGATCGTACTCGTCTCAAAGGTGATAACGAGTAATTGATGGTGTTTAACAGATATCCAAGGGACAGTGAGTTTAGTTTGTGGCGAGTCACATAAGCCACGTCACAGTGCGGATAATAGAACAATTGTAGAGATTTATATAGAGATTGGTTGCCAAGCGAAAACCCACACATCCTGGAACACTGCCGCCGATGTAGTTGCTGAAAAGGGGTTTAACACAAACCACTCAGCTGGTACCACGAGGAGGTTTTTTTCTAACCAACCAGTGAACTCTCTGATCGGAATTCGATATTTGCATCGGAAAAGATTAGTCCCATCCAATGGTAGGTTCCAATATTCTACGTCTTTTGCTTTTCTACAAATGTAGAATTCTGCGATTGACAAGTAAGAGTAAAAATAGAACGAAAGAATAGTGTGATAATGTATCATGTCCGTCAGTTACATTGCAAAGTGTGCCAATGAACCATAGAGTGCCTAACACGTTGATTATTTTCTCTCTACCAATGCCACTTACGAGCCAACTTTCAGGGTTGTCCTAACTTCCAAACATAGAAATACGCAGGACATGTTGAAAATTTGGCCGTTGGTGGGTGAAAGTCTGGTGCCTTAAGAACAGTTGCTCGAATGTATGGTGAGGGTTTTCGACTTTGATTACTCCGTACGTCATTTCATTTTAAGAATATAGCCTATTAGCTCTCCAACTGCTTTCAAAATTAGCATAAGCGCTACTAGAATGGACTCAGAGACCTGCGACGGAAGTATTTCTCGGGCTTCGTGATCTATACATCCTATGACTTCAGAAGTTAAATCTGTTCTTCCGGGATTTCCGCTGTCGCCGGTGTGATCTCATCTACACTAGGCGCAGCCTCCTAGGGAAATCTGGAATTGGGTTACAGTAGTACTTCTGGCCTGAAGATTGACTGTTACACACGAGGTCACACAAGCAAACTACTTAAGCAAAGCGGGCAACGAATTTGCATGGACGCACCCTAACCACTGGAGTGCTAAGTGACGGCAACGACCTACAGGAAAAAAATGCGGTCGCGGCATCCGAACGGTTTCAAGCGGCTGCTAGAACAGCATCCGCTGAGAATGCTGGAATACCGCTGCCGTCACTGCCACGGAGACGAACACTAGAGGAATGTCTTAAAACAACGACGTATAGTATTACAACGACCCAGTAAGATTTGACGTCTGGGGGCATAACAAGTGAGTTCTCTCCGTCTCGCTAAATCTCAAGAAACTCAATGAAGATGCGAACAGAAATTCTTCTATTACTTTATGATTGCTTTAAGCATTAATTCTTTTATCTACATTTGGCGACCCAGTATAATGTTTCGGCGAACAAAAACAAAAAACACTTAATTTTAAAAACCTCATTTTTCTTCGACATTAACTAACGAGGCTTCGTTACCATCCTCGGAAGAGCGCCTTTCGAGCATACACAAAATGAGTTCTAACCAACCAACGTACATTTATTATTTCTGCCGCCTCTCGCCTAAAACATTTTTAGTATTCACACTATAAATTAAAATTTATGTATTTCGTTGTTTGTGTACATTTTGATTTCGTTTTTGGTTCATGTTTTAGATGCAGACCCAGCATAATATATAAGTAGGGAAAAAATGTAAGGGCTTCTGCAAATACTACACGCGACATTTGGTCGCGGGAACTGAGTACGTCACCGTCACTAATCTGCTATAGCAAACGATGGTAATGGCACAATGTAAAGGCATGTATGATAATCTATGCGTATTTGAAACTTTCCCTTATGTTTAAAATGGCGTTGCATTTTTTTCTTGTGTACTTACATAAGGTCGAATAATGCGCAGAAATAAGAAAGCTGCATGCTGAAATCACATTATCTAAAAGACTGGTAGGAAACATATATTAGTGGGCGTTTTCAGAAACATGTGAACGTTGAAGAATGGCTGTATATAACGGAATAATGTATTAAATTAAATAAAATCATAGGTAGAAAACATAGGAACCAAAGTACTGAAACAAAAAACGCTCAAATAGTAATAAATGGATTAAAAGTTTAATCAATGCATATTAACATAAATCGTTTACCATATAAAATAGCAAGATTGGTTGCAAGCATATATCATAATTTCACACGTATGTAATTGTATATTTATGCACAACCAAAATAAATTAATTTAGTTTTAATTTAACTATTAAAAAGCTGTGATGAGAGCTTAGAGTTTTAGTTATATATACATATATGTTAACTTTGGAGGACAATTATGTTGGATATATATGAACATATAAGAAGTATGTATATTCCTCGCCGCAACCCTTTTTAATTGGTTTGCCGATGAAAATATAGATGTGCGTAAAGTTTATATCATATGGAGCTCACACTACTAACAAACATATGACTACTAAGTTATAAGAAATACGTTTCTTCTGCGGTTCCATTGCCTGCAGTATGGTATATAACTGGAATGTATTCTGGAAACGGCACCATCGCTATGGCTTCAAGTACCACTGGTACCCATGCGTTGGTTGAGACCGTCAGTGATCCTGCCACACCCATAACCACGAGCTTCTGGATGATGAATTATTAAAGTGGTTCAGTAGAAACTGTCGGCTGGTGCCGAAAGAGCTGGAGATAACCAGGCCGATGCTTGAATGCCGAAGGCGATGTATCAACCTCCGGTTCTGCATCCGATCGAATTTCGGAAAATACCCAGAGAATGTGGATGTCCGCAACCTTTAAACGAGGTATATGCTCAGGCGCAAAAATCCAAATAACGTGTTTTTGATTAGTTTGCTTAAACTTCACCGTTTTAGGATACAAACTTGACTTGGAACAGCAGGTTAACCAGCGAAGGCAAGCCCAGTGTTTGCACTACCAAAAATTCAGACCACCCAATTCGTCTACTCCACCTTCGAGGTGCTGAAATGTACTCCAGTTTTCCCGGCTTTTTTGCTTTTTGATAACACCCCACTAATCAACTAAAGTAATTGTTTACCAAATGCTTAAAATAGATGACTCTCGCAATAGTCTGCCGGTTGCCGTTGCTTTTCTTTGGCGGAAAAAGGGAGACTGACGTCAGAACCTTCCTTCTTATATTTATGGAACTTGTAGTTTTAGCTTCTGGCCCCTAGCGTATCATGTCCGATGGTGCACTGGCCATTGCGAACGCTGTGCATAATGTCTTCCCTACCGCACATCATTTATTATGTCACATTCATATAATTAGAAATGTTATCAAACGTTTTCCGCAATCCACTACATTCAGGCGTTTTTTTATCGTGCTGACCCCTTGCGAATTTTAAAAATATTTAGATAATTTGGAACCCTTTCTTACCAAGGATCAGCCTCTCTTCCACTATATCAGATGCTTCATTCTTCCCACCGCCTGTTGATGGGCCAACAGCAGGATGCCTTGTGCAGCAACGTGTGGCATACACCAAGTGAATATGTTGGAATCCATGCAGCTCTGCATGAAGATGGAACTACTGAATAGCGAAAAGGATCTTTGAAGAAATACGAGTGTCACGGATGAGCACGACGCATCTGATATGGAACTCGACAAAAAGCAGTATCGGATGCATCCGGAGTTGGAATGCTTTTGACGCTGATTGATGCCATAAGCTATTTTTGTATAATATCTGACTTGAATTCAACGGATCCGATTGTGGTTTTCAACAGCGGTGAGCATGCAACCGCTTTCATCAATCGTCGTCTGGAGAGGGTACATCACGATAACCGTACGTGCATTTGCAAAAATAATATCGGATTTGGGCTTCCACAAAGACACTTGCTGCAATTCGTACTACTTAACAGCCTGGATGTGAGCCACCTGCCGGTCAGCTTACGGTGGACAAGAGAGAATAAAGGGACTGTTGCCGTTGCAATCGCGCCTTTGTATGCGCCAACAATCGGAAGGCAAGAACCGAGCGCCATGTGGAATATAGAGTTGAACAACCTACGTGCACTGTATCAGCAACTGCAGCCAGCGCACATCGCTCCGTATACCGTGTGACAACGTCGAATTGTTTAACAAGCAGGCCCGCAAGAAATGCCTCCGTTCACTTTCCCCTCAAGTGCACCTGGCCACGGACACAAACGTTGCCGATTAAAACCAGCTGCCGGAGTCAACAGTTATGAACCTTGAAGCTGCGGCTCTTTGTCTGTCAGCATTGCCAGAGGGGATTTTCACTTCGGCCACCTATAACGCGGTATTAGCGATGAAGTTAAGGTGACAATTGCAAGCTCAGATAAAGAAGGCACTACGCCAGCGCTTCTACTTTGTGCAGAGCCGAAGGCCGCTGTTTCCAACGCAAGGCATGAATCCTGGAACGCGACAGCTGGCGAACAAACCAAACATCTGCGAGATTTGGTGATTGATGAAGATATATACGCAGAATGCGACTTACTAGGTGCGGAAGGAAAGAAGGGACGAACAATACACCGGGTTCAATGCCCGTATTCTACGCGTTGGTATCATCGAAGCTCTATTCTGCAGCCATCCATAATAACTGATTACTGGTGCTTTTTCTGCGAACATATATCTGCATGACACTGCGAAGTTAGTTATGGACATTTTGCAGCCCGGATATGTCAACGTGTTTTCCATCGACTTATTTGTATGTGCTGTAATCATGTCGCTAAATATACGCGCAGTTATTAATACCTTCATTGCCATGTAGCAATGAACAAGGATGTAAATTCTTTTTCTGTTAACGTCCACCGCATAAAGCCAACCCTTCCTCAGCGTTGTACGGTGGTGTAACCAATTGTTAATTAGGCCAACATGGCTATGGTGGTTTTATATTAGTGAATAATGCTAGACAATAAGCCGTATATGGTTTGTCTATCCTTCCAGGATATCAACGAATGGAAGGCTTATAATGAACCTGCACGTTTCGCCATATATTGCCTGCTGCAGTGTACGCAAATGATAACCATTGTAACTAAATTGTAACTGAATTGAAATAAATAAATAAATGGCTTATTTTCGGGTATATTGAAGCTCAGCAAATCATGCATAATCAAAATTTACATGCAGTTATGTTTCGCAACATACACGTTGCTGTGTATATAATGGGCACTGGCCGAAATATGTACTGGCTGCAGAGATTGAGGAAGTAATTATGAGAAATGAAGTCGTCAATGGATGAGCAAACTTTGGGTTTAAGTGCGAATAGTGCAAACACTCAAGGCATGATAAGCTTACGGAAACCGTTATTTGTAGACAGAGGGTATCTTATTCTTGTACGTGTCAAGAAGATATTGAAATATGAATCTCGTTGACTTGCCAGTAATTAGTTCTGGGCATTGACTTGATTCAGTGGCGACTCACGTCCGCGGTGGTTGAAACGAAGTCGTTAACATCGACCGTCTAACGCCTGAATTTATGGAAGGAACCACCGCGCGTACTTCGCCTAGTATTGCTTCGTGAGACATCGAACCTTACCGCACCGGCTTTCAGCCTCCTATTATAGTTCAATCAGACCTTGATCCAGGTTTGCAAGTTAGAGACGATCTGACATCTTCCGAATCTAGCCCGCCTTCTCCCATGAACAATCACCGTAGTCAGAAGGTGCTTAAGCCGGTACGGTTCTCCGATTATGTACGGTGTGCGTAAGTTTAGGTTTGTATACATTAAAAATGTTTGCCCTGTTTTCGGTAGAATAACGTTTTGAAAAAAATGAAAAATGAAAAAAGCTCCTGAAAACCTTCCCAAATTTACAAAACCTGAGCAATCTGAACACCGTAATCATTTGTTCATTATTTCTGGAGTTTTCTGAACGTGTTCTTCTATTTGCTGTTTTTTACTTGCTCGATCCGTTCCCTTTGATTGACTGGCCCAAGGCACAGCGGACTCCGACTTCCGGCAAACCTCCATTTGAGACGAACACTCTTATTCCTACTCAGCAATATTCTGCCCTACAAATCTCGATCGACAATCATTTTCGATATCAAATGCTTTCTTTGTTCAACCATCTATGGGGAGCTCTGTAGCGCCCAAAAATATAACTGCTATTCTTTATGTACTATGTAATTGTTAACCAATTGTTCATTATACCTTCATGTTGTAATCTTCCTTATAACCGGCTCGACGCTCGAAAGCCTTGTAACTTCTTGCGCTAAGGTCTACCTCCTGTCTCGCTTAAGCCGTACGCACCTTTTCGTAGCCCAGTGAATACAGTCCGCTGTGTCCGACTTCAATTGCTTTCTGATACCAGCGCTTAGTTACTAGCACGATTGTGTTTACTTAACCATAAGTGAAGGGTGTCGCGTTCGTTCTCATACATGCTCAGTGTGAGCATGTTGCAACCACACATACTGTCTCTTTACATCCGAACTAGTGTATTCCATCGTTTCAGCGTGCGAACACTTAGCAGTACTTGTAGCGAATATCATTAGGCAGTATAGGTTTAATGGATTTTAGCATCGATTAGATGCCATTTGGTGGCAACAACAAATGTAACCATTTTCCGAACAGACTACTCTCTTTTTACCCGTGCCCATTTATAAATTACCGCTACATATTCCCCCTAGTTGGCAAATGATCGGCTTACAGGTTGCATCCACAATGATTAAAGAGCAGTGCTGCTGTCATCATACATTAGACCACATTATGGCAACTGTGCCAGTCAAATGCGGGTGACCGATGTTAGCAATTGTTGAAATGGGCTATTTTTTGTTAATGCACTAAGTAGGCAGCGGTTAATTAGGTGCGTAGTTGATGTTCGAACTAGGTTACGAAATGTCGGTCGCACAGCTTTACTACCAAAAATTGCTTGGTAAGAAGCACAATAAAAATTCGGGAAAATGTGCTGTTATTTTCCTCATGGCACCGTAGTAGTAATGGCCCTCAGTACATTTCGTGTACAGAGCTTCGCCTAGCTGCCTACGAGCGGAGGTGGATAGTACGCCAATCACGAAATGATACGGAATATGGAGCCATACTAATCTATTAAGCCGGAGTATGATGTTTACCGGCGAAATAGCTGTCCGCACCAAAGGACAAGAGAAAAAATGTAACTATGACGTCCGATAGTAGTAAATGTCAACGCAAACACATGTATGCAGTGGTTGAGAAAAATATCAATAACCGTAATAGACGGATACCGAAGACAGCAAAGTTAAATTTTTGAGAATGAACACATCGTTGAAGAAAGCACTGGCGAGAACTAACCACATAAAATGCTTATTGCCAACAGTCGTATGGATGGCATAAGCCAAACGACTGTGGCATTGAGTGTATTTAGCCTAACCTGTTACGTCTTAGCAGGACGCAGTAAGGAAATATCACCGTATAAAAATCATTGCAAATTAGGTTGTGAGAATTTTGGAAGCCAAAATACAGAGGTGAATACTGAGAGATTTAGCAAGTACCAGTTATTCCGCTAACCACCTAAAATCAACCGCAGTGTGGTGCGATGCTTTAAGACGTAATGCACTGCATGCAATTAGTTCTGCTGATGTTATGAGTGCGACGAATTATGAAGCCTGATATTCATGTTTCATGTTTCTGTGTATGACAGCTTTGATGTTGCTGCGCATGATATACGTGCACATTTGCTGAAGGCGGTAGTGAAAGTACCCACTCACAACCAGCTGTGCTTATTTCGTTGAAAGGAATAGCATCATCAACATGTTTTTTCTCGAAGCAGTTCGCCGTGTACGATGGAACAGCTAAACTGTGTCCGTATATTTCAATACACCGAACTGTAATGTCGGTCTAGATAAACGCCACCTACAAAATACTGCTATATCCGTCTCGTCAGCTTTGTGTGATGTGCGTTTAGTGAACTAATTGACTAACGTCCCACGACATAGTACAATATATCTGGATATAAGAGTATTAGTATAAGTAAACAGCTAGCATACACTAAAGGGTTTTCTGTAAGTACTTCAAAGGATTACTAATCAGAAATGACAGGCAAAGGAGTTAAATAACAGAGTGATGAAAACAAAAGCATAGGTGGAATGCTCAGGTTTAAGGGCATAGTTCACGCTAGTTAGTCCGTGTGGGCGAAAAGGATTGACGTCCCGAAGCAAAGTTGGGGTTTATCTGATATCGAGCTAACCGTGACTTTTGGATGAACTGCCAGAAAAGAGGAACAAGTTAGGCTGTCTCTGTCGGGTGTGTCATTGGTAAGAATGGTTCCGGAGCCATTCCGGCTTCCGTTAAAAAAGGGTTAATTTGACTTGGTGGATTCAAAGGTGCTGCATGGGTATTTCTCATGACAGGTGATATTGTCAGGTTTTCAATGTATTTTTGATTTTCATTTCTCTGTCTAGAGTGGTGGCAGACCTGAGGCTGATAAGTATGCTGTCCTGTTTGAGCTTGGTAGGTAGGTGCAGCCATAAGATAATTGTTGTGAGATCTAACCGGCTCGAAGTGACGCGTAGCGCCGCGATGGCAAGGCAGTTATAGACATGCAGATTTGAATGCCACTCAGTTCCTCATAGCTGAGTATTTTTTGTAAATAACGGTCGATGATATATTTGTGCTTACAAAATCAACACGCTAATCTCGGGGCGCAACTTGACCTTTGTATCTGTTTTCCGGTGTTTTTATTTTGTTCACAACATTCACTTGTTCGTAACATCTAACACTTCCTGTGGCGAATAAACCGTTTGAGGTCGGAGCAATGAGGCCACGGTCACAAGTACTGGCGTACGTTAAGTTCGGTTGTCGTACAGTACGCGTTCAGATAGAAGGTGGAGCAGAGTTATTTGATAGTAATGCCCCACTTGGTGTAACATTTCCAAGTGGATTTGTGCGCGGTTTATCAGCATAGCCGTAACGGTTTACCGGCGGTTTCGGTGTAATTTTGAGAAGGGATCGTTGCAGAGGTGTAAGATCCGGCTTAATTAAAATATCTTTGTACTGGTTACATGCAGTAATGATATGTTGGCTGTGCAATAAACAGTCTGCCGATTCTTCGCTTGTAAATTTAAAATTGACTAGAGAGCAATATTTCGGTGTTCTTTTTCCAGTCGCAGATATTTATAGACGTT